CGCTTGATGCAGCAGCAAGACAGTTTCACCTCCTGGGTTGAAAATACTTACTTCTCCTAATTACATGCAGCTTGACATGTAAAGGAAGCAGAGCAGGGCTTGGAGAGGAAGGCTCCCCCCCCCCTAGAGAGCTCTCCCAAACAAGGGTTTGGAGGGGGAGGAGGGAAGCAGAGCAAAACAGAGGCTGCTCCTCCCTCTCTGCTGCTAAGTCTTGGCAAAAGGAATCCTGATTCCCGAAAAGATAGCAGCTGTTGGAAAGGAGCCCACCTCTCTCCAGAGAAAGGCTGTTGCACAACGGCCTGTCCTTCCTGACAGGCTAACGGGAATTTTTGCAACAGGCTGCCTGCACAGACGCAAAGTGGGTCACGGGTTCATCCACCTAATCTCATTTAGACGGAGAAATAAGACAGGCAGTGCTCATGCCGCATCTCTGGGCAACTGCAGGCTGGTGTGCCAGTTTAAGGGCCAGCCAGCAATTTTGGCAAACAGTCCCCCTAAGCCACCAGCAGAGGTACAACCCACACCTCACCAAAAGCAGCAAAGCAAACACAGATTGTTTGCTTGGGAGTTAAAATAGAACAAGGCAGCACGAACAGTCCAGCTGCCAGGTTATCGTGGACTTGTCTCGGGGGCTCGACATTCCCTGCAAACATCGGAAAATGCTGGACACACACACACAAACACTCCACTGCAAGACTTCACGCCACAGGTGGGCTGCAGATTAGTAAGGGGGCCTCAGTTTAAACCTAGTTCAGCCTGCCACAAAAACTTGCTGGGGAAGCCATTCCCTGTCACGGAAGGAAGCAATTATTCCATCCTAATAGGTTGGTTAGGGACGTGGGTGGCGCTGTGGGTTAAACCACAGAGCCTAGGACTTGCCGATCAGAAGGTCGGCGGTTCGAATCCCCGCAACGGGGTGAGCTCCCGTTGCTCAGTCCCTGCTCCTGCCAACCTAGCAGTTCGAAAGCACGTCGAAGTGCAAGTAGATAAATAGGCACCGCTCCGGCGGGAAGGTAAATGGCGTTTCCGTGCGCTGCTCTGGTTCGCCAGAAGCGGCTTAGTCATGCTGGCCACATGACCCGGAAGCTGTCTGCGGACAAACGCCGGCTCCCTCGGCCTATAGAGCGAGATGAGCGCCGCAACCCCAGAGTCGGTCACGACTGGACCTAATGGTCAGGGGTCCCTTTACCTTTAATAGGTTAGTTAGTACCTTGTCAGCGCTGGGTGAATGCAACTCTCACCCTGATTATGATGCTTTGGGGTAGGATTTAAACAAGCAAAAATCCTCCAGAAATCTTTCCCTGGTAACAGTTCTCCTGGCGCCACTTGCTAGTTAGGTGTGAGTTTTTTATATTCATTGGTTATGCCATTGGATTTCTTGAGGAAGAGGTGCTGGGGCCCAGCCCTGGCTGGAAGCCACAGGACTCCCGTAGCGGAGTCACGGGGCCTTATCCAAGATACGGAGGGCCAGGGTGTGGTTACTCAAATCAGAGGCATGTTGATGACTTCATGTCCTCATTGCAGAGAGAGGGCAGGGTGGGATGACTCTGGCGCTGGAAGAAGATTCGGGGGTTTCGATTTGATTAAGTCTTCTGCTCGCAAGGCTCCAGGCCTCCTGACACGCACAGGAACACAGCCTGCATTCATCTGCTGCTGGACACGGACCAATCCTGCAGTGCTAAGAATGCTTCCCATTTCAAAAAGTGCCCAGAAAGCAGATGGGAAATGCTGTCCAGTAACACCATAGACCCTTGGACCACCCTTTTCTCCTATCGAGGGCAGGCTGGCAAAACAACTTGTGAACACAGATTGCCTTCCTTCCACAAGACTGGGGGAGGAGGAGGGGGAAATCCAGGACTGATCACGCCTCTTGAGGGCTGGTAGCATGCAGACAACGCAAATGTATGCTAGTAGGCCTGTACAAATTCACACAGGATTATTGGGGTCAGCCTTGTTACTCCTACGCTGGAAAATACCAGCTAATAATAATAATTTAAACAAACACTAATTTTATTATCTAGCCGGGTTTCCCAACCAACCTGGGCAGCTTCCAGCACATATAAAAAGATTACAAAATGTCAAACATTGAAAACGTCCTGATACAGGGCTGCCTTCAGATGTCTTCTAAAAGTTGTGTGGTTCTTTAGCTCCTCTGCATTTGACAGGAGGGCATTCCACAGGGCAGGTGCCACTACTGAGAAAGCCCCTCTGCCTGGTTCCCTGCAACTTCACTTCTTGCAGGGAGGGAACTGTTAGAAGGCCCTTGGAGTTGGACCTCAGTGTCCAGGCTGAATGATGGGGGTGGAGACGCTCCTTCAGGTGTAATGAAATTTAAGAGGAGTGCAATTATAAAGCATCAAATTAAAGAGGTATTTGTACAGCCTAAGGTTTTATTTTCCATGTGAAAGAGGCTACTAGTGGGAAGTGGATGCTCTGTGGGCATATGTGAAATGAGGGAAGCCTCTGGGTCATGAACTCACAGAGCAGCTACTCGACTCTCAGTCCCCACATCTACAATTTGGGAGAATTGTACTGCTCTACATTACAGAGCTGTTGGGAGAATTAAAAATACTACACACATGTGGTTTGAGTGCTCTGGAACATGGTATATAAAATGCTAAAAGCTAATGCTGGTGTATTTCCATCCCACACTGTTCCCGTCCGAAGTCTAGGCAGGGGTGGGGTTCTCCCTGCCTATCAGAACTTCCAAGCAGGCAAGGAAGGACAGTAGCTCAACAGCAGAGCACCTGCTTTGCCTGGAGAAGGTCCCGGGTTCAATCCCCTGATTCCCCAGTTAAAAACATACCAGGGAGCAGAGAGAGTGGAAGATCCGCAGTTGCCCAAGACCCTGGAAGAGCCGCTGCCAGTCAGAGTAGACAACACTAGGCAGAGGATTAGTGGCTTGACTCAGTAGGCAGATCCTCATCTGCAGAGGCTGGATGGCCATCTGCCAGGGATTCTTTAGCTCCGATTCCTGCATTGCAAGGGGTTGGACTAGATGACCCTCGGGGTCCCTTCCAACTCTACAATTCTGTGATTCCGTGTCTGTAACAGGATTAACCTGCACAGCCAAGGTTCATGGAAGACACACTCTGGCCCATGTTCATGTTATATTCCATATTTTCTTTCCAGACCACTCGAAGCCATTTCCTTCCCAAACAGAGAAAAGCAGGAGGGTGTGGTGGTTATTAAGAGCGCTATGTTTTCCCCAGAATGATTTTCCATCTACTGCAGTAGCTTTGGCTACACTGAGACAGTAATAAAAGGGAGAATAGAGGCTCTCAAGGGAGGTGAAGGCTCCCATCACCAACACACACACCCTGACCGCTTTTACGAGCTGAACTGGCCTCTTCCAATTGTAATCACAGCAGCTCACACCTTTTTTCCTGAAAATAACTTACTGGGCTACAAATCACGTATTTTGCCTTGGAAGTGTGTTCCTGTAAAGCTCAGATACTTGGCAGAGAACACATTCAGAGGCACCCCCACCCTATTCACTGTAATATCATACCAAACCGCGGTTATGGAAAATGGTAAGTGGGTTGCAGGACCCTCATGAACCAGGAAGAAAACATTTCAGGAGATGCACAAATACAATCAATCTAAGTTGCATTTTCATACAACTGTTTCCCATCAAGCAAAGCACCTGCCCACTTTAATATGCCTCAGATGAAAACAGGAAGCATTCAGCACCATTTTCTTAAGAGAAGTTCAAATCACTGAGAAATGGATCCCTAACTAATTTTGCAGTTTGTGTCAGGAGCGGATGGGAGCTTACCTGAATGCAAACCAGCTAATGCTCAGTCCAAGCGCTATAGATCCCATGGGACACATTTGTCACTGTTGTGATTATTATTCATAAACAAAAACCCAAGGTGGGTTGTGTGTGTGATATTATTAATATCAATGCTAATTTCAAATTCCTAAAGAACTGTACACTTTTTTTAAGACAGAGACCAAGTGGCAGGGAAAATATGTGTGCATGTTTTCCAGAGACACAGGCTGTGTTCATTTTTGTTGCAGCAAAACCAACAAATAATCTTATGCCATAATAAGAGTTGTTGGTCTTTAAGGTGCCACAAACAAGACTTCTGTGTAGGTTGTGGGTTGTTTTTCTTCTTCTCCATATTAGGCGGTATATAAATGCCACAAATGGTGTCTCCCTGTGTTAAAGGAGATCTCTGCATACTTTTGTGTTTATGTACATGAGTATATATTTATGGGAGGGTGTACAAGAGAGAAATATTTTTGTATATGTAAATAACACTCTTTCTGTGGCTGCATACATAGAATATATACGATATAAATAAATGTGCACAGGAGAGATGTGATATACCTATATGTGCATGATATATATGTCTGTGAATGTGTGCAATATGTGCAAGAGAGATATCAGTGTGTGTCTGTAAAAGATGTGCATGTGTGCAGGCGTAAGAGAGAGCTCTGTGTGTATGGGCGCTATGTCGTTTGCATAAGCAATCTCTGCGTGTGTTCTGTAGGTGGGTGCATAAGAAGAAATCTCTGTGTAAACGCGTGCTGTGCCGTTGGCGCGAGAGAGATCCGTGTGTGCCGTCTACCCACCCGTGTGCAGGCGTGGGGGGAAAAAATCTACGTCTGCGTGCCTGCGCCTTTGTACATGCTGTGCCGTTTGTGTAACAGGGAGATCTCCCGTGTGCCCGGGATGGATGCGCGTGTGTGCTCGTGCAAAAGAAATCTCTGCATACCTGCCCGCTCCCGTGTCAGAGAGCGCTGTGTGCATGCAGGCATACACGTGTGCGTGTGTGTGTGTGTCCTACATGTGTCCCCACAGAGGGGAGGGATAAAGCCCCCCCTCCCAGGCCTCACCCAATTCAAGGAGGAAGGAGAACAGCAGGAAGGAGGAAGAAGAGGAGGGCGAGGCAGACGACGAGCTGCGGAGGGAGGGGGGGCTCAGCGTCCCTCCCCCCCCTTGAGGAAAACAAGCCCCCCCCTCACGCTCCCCCCCCCCTCGGCCTCCTTACCTGACACGACGAGGGCCTCGTTGGGCCCCACCGTGTGGCAGTTGCCCATGGCGACTCGACCCAGACAACGCCAAGCAGCAGCCCGCCCCGCCCGCCGACCACCACCACCACCACCGCGCAGGCGCACTGCGCTCCGCCCGACTAACGGGTCGGGGGGGAATCTTCGGGAGGAGCGGCACCGCCTCCTTCCTCGGCTCCGCCCCCGCCCCGAAGGCTCCGCCCACAGGAAGCGCGTCCGAGGCGGGGGGGGGAGAGGGAGAGCGTGGGCGGGAAAAGGAAAGAGCGGGAAAGGGGAGCGGGCTGAGGGAGGAGGAAGAGGGAGAAGCCGCCTCCGTCTCCTCCGCCTTCGCCTCAGGCCGCCATTTTGGGCGGAGGAGGAAAGTGTGAGGGGAGAACAAGAAAGGGATAAAATAAAGCGCGCCCCTCCCATCTCCCCAGAACACGCGCCCTTTGTGAACACGCGTCGCGCTGTTGGGTTTTCGTTGTGTGTTTTCGCGTTTTCACACGAGATCCTCCTGCAGAGAAGGGCAGTGTATAAATTCAATAAACAAAACCTTCAGAACTCGGGGAAAAAATTACTATCCAGACGGGGCACAAGAAATAAAAATATAATTTATTATTATTATTGTTCTTGTTATTAACACACCACACCCTCCAGGTTCCAGGTGGGGTACAATCAATCAATTTTTTTAAATATAAGATATTTATTAAAGTTTTCCATTTTATACAAACAAAAAGAAAAGCGTAAAAAAGAAAAAAATATTAAAAACACATACATTTCACAACTTATTTTCAATAACATATTTCCCTGACTTCCTCGTACCTCCCCTTCTTGTTTTCTAGTTCAAATTATTTGTCCAGCAAATCCTTATCTCCTAGCATTACAGCTAACACCTTATTTTCTATTCAACATATTAAATTACTATATCTTAAACTTTACTTATAAAAAACCATTTTTTCCATATTCTTTTACCATTACAGCTAGAAACCACTTAATTTCAATCCCACATCATTCAAGATTCATTAATATTGCAATATTTCAATCAATCAATTGATGATGGTAAATATTCTTCTTGATTCTTGTTTAGTAGCCCTTCACCCCAAGGTCCCAGGGTTGGGTACATTTAAAGTATAATATAAAAACAGTTTTAAAAGCAGCTTGCCATTGCAGAATCAAGGCAGGTCCTAACATCCTACATCTGAATGGTCCTCCTTGTCTTTTAAGGGCATCTTCCCATTTGTCCCCTCTCTCCCTGCATATATTTATTCTGTGATTAGCAGCAGTTTTTCTGCCTCCGTTTTTTCCAAAGACCATCCTTGAGACCCCCCCTCAGCCCAACATAGATGCCCCCTCAGCCACTCCAGTCTTGCCCAGCTGGCCTCGAAATTACAGCGGCCACATTATGCTTTCCCCCCACTTGCTAAGAAAAGCGTATTTTAAGGTGGCAGCTCCTACAGTTTGGACTCCAGCCGCCTTTCCTCTTTTTTTTTAAGTCTCTGCTAAAGACATTTCTGTCTGGGGAAGCCTATCCAGACACACAAACAAGCTGCCATCTGTTTTAATTATTACTAATATTGTTTTAGGTTCTAAAAAAGATTTCACTGATAATTTTGCTGTTTTGTTCTGGTGGTTTAGTCAGGTGGCATATAAACACTGTGGGGAGTGAAATAATATGTACCTAAATCGAGTTTCATTTTTAACATTTCCGCTTCTGCTGCTCTGATAAAAATGAAAGAATTGAGCTGGGAGTTCTGCATTGCAGGGGGTTGGACTGGATGACCCCGAGGTCCCTTTGATATAGGAATTGGAGACCCCAGGTGTACATTTTTATTATTTTAATAACGTTTCAGGGTTTCGCTTTAATTGCATTTAACCTTTCAGAATGCATTAGACTTGATCTTTGTGTGTTCTGCATTTGTGAGTCTTCCTTCTCCTACGCTGCTCTCCTCTCTCTCCTTATCTACTCCTGAAAATCGTTGAAATATGGATATAATGTATAAATAATGAAATTAATAAAATTTTAAAATGCAAAAAAAATAATAATGAAAATCGTACTAATGGCAGGAGGATGTTTTAGCACCAGAGTGAGAACCAGCTATCCTTGAAGCTATCTGAGACTCAGGAAGAGGATTTTATGATGCTCTTCCCTCTCACCATAGGCTAAGCTGCCAGGGTAACACTAGATATCCGAGACCTGAAATGGTCAACTGGCCTGGGCACATCAGGACCACTCCAAAGCGATTGCAGGGGTTAAGATGCCAGTATGAAGCCACACATGCATTACGTCTCATGACCTGTAATCTTTCCTGACATATGTTTAAGGATGTCTTATGACTCTTGGTTTGCTGTGTTTGAACTACTGAATTGCCTTGGGGCAGACCTTCTCAACTGGCACGTTGAGTCGAGTCAGCTCTGTCCTATTGCAATAGGTATAATAGAAACTGGGTCCCTAAATCTGGATGCTGGACTTGGAAATAGTTTCCTTGGTTCTGTGGTTTATGCAAAAGGTGGTTGTTCCTCACCTGGGTAACAAATAAAGTGGTGCAGAGGTGAATTCTTACCGCACCTTCTAAGTCTATGATATTGCCAAGATGGCGGGTTCTGGAGTTTTGAGACTGGAGGGATGCTCAGAAAGTCTTCAGTTGCTGCAGCTCAGTTATAAATGCTACTAAAGCGCTACACTTTAAGCCACCTATTAGCAATCCTGGCTTTCATCCTTGTACTTACATTGTATATTGCCTACACTGACTGGCAGCAGGGGCTCTCTCCTGTTTTTCAGACAGGAAGTCTCTCCCAGCCTGAGGATGAAACCTGGGACCTTTCACACGCAAACCAGGTGCTCTGTACTACTGCTGTGTGACACAAAATGCCCTTTTTTTACCTGAGAACCTGGAGAGCAGCTGCCAATCAGAGTAGATTTGGACTACATGGACGAAGAGTTTTACCTAAGATAAGGTAGCTTCCTTCCCATGTTCCTATCACACAGCTATTTAGATATCACTATGTGTTGATTGGTGCCTTCCATTATTATTGCCGTTTCAGGCATGTGGTGGTTTACAAAAATCGGGTGTCTCCCTTCCTCTGCAACACATGGGAATGCAGGAATCTCAGCTAAAGCTGACAGATGCCATCCAACCTCTGTTTAAATCCGAAACCTTAAATGTCAAGATTGACAGACAGGTCTGTTGACACTGCAATGTTTGGAACTATTTCAACAGTGGTTGGTGCCATGCTGACTGCTGTTGATGCACTAAGATCAAGATCCCTGCATCTTCCTCAGTGAAAGGCCCAAGGCATCTATCGCCACCTGACGTCCTAAGACACCATCCAAGCCCTATCCACCGGTTGGCTATCATTCAAAGATGCCTCCAGTTTACGGAAATGAGAAGTGCTGCTTTGGGACAGTGCTATTTCCCCTTTAGAAACCTGCCATGTGAGGCCACAATTTGACTTTACAATTTTCCTCAGTTTCATGGATGGTTCTGCACAGGCACCCGTTCTATGGAGGTGAGCCCTCTTTGAAAAACACCGCAGCCTAGTTCGCCAGCCCCACCATCCTCTCGCTGACTTCCCAAAGTTTCTTGGCCACGGCGTCATCCCGGGCATGTGGCTTCGGGTCATGCAGCCTGCAATTGGCAAAATAGCGCCCGCTGTACTTCTCAATGCCTTCCTCAGTGGCACAGTAGATGGATGTCTGAGCTCCATTTGTCGTGTCTCGGAAGAAGAGCCAGCAGATGGGGAGGAAAAGAGGCTTCAGCCAAACCGAAATGTGACGGAAAAAATCTGATTTAACAAGCCCTGAAAGCAGAAAGATAGGAAAACATCAGTTGCCAGAACTGGATAGAATAAGAAGAGAGCCCAGCTGATGGACCAGACTTCAAAGGGGGTCCATCTAATTTAGTATCCACTTTTCCACTGTGGCCAACCAGATGCCCCTTTTTGCAGAACAGAACAGTCAACTGTCAGGAAAAATGGGAGCTGGAGTCTAATAACATCTAGAGGACCAATGGAAGCTGGTCCATTAGGGCAAACTCAGTCTGCTTCTCAGACAGTCCCCATCTGCCACCCTTCCTACTTACAACCAGCCCAGGGGGTGATCCTGCCCATCAGCTTCCTTCTCTTCCACAGTCTCAGTGTTGCCCTTTGTAAATCTCTGCAGGGATAAGGATGAGGATGGGGACAGAACTAGGAGGAGTTGGCTCCATCTGCAATTGACTCTGTCTCCACCTTTCACTGGTTCTGGCTCTGTCTATTGTTGGGCTCCTTGCTTTCTGCCCCTCCAGTCCCCCAAGGGCACCAGACACCACTATAGAGGGTCGCAGGTTGAGGAGCTGAGCTGGACCTGCCACCCACCTGGATGGACCGCGTAGCAGGTAACGTTCGTCCCTTCCAGTCGATTGGCGAGCTCCCGGGTGTACAATATATTGGCCAGTTTGCTGTTGCAGTACGATTGGAACCCTGCCAAGTGCCCTTCCACTGGCTTGTGGATGTTCTGAAAGTCAATCTTCCCCGTTTGATGTGCTTTGGAAGCCACCACCACCACACGGCTGGGCGCACACTGCTTCATCCGCTCGAGGAGGAGGTGAGTCAGAAGGAAATGACTCAAGTGATTCACCTGGAACACCAAATTGAAGCCATCCTCGCTTTGGCTTCCAGACCCGACACCTGCCGGAATACGAAGCTGGATTAAACTCTGTTAAACACACCTGTTTAGGCAAGCCTAGTCCATATAAGTTTATTGTTCTAGCCCAGGGGTCAGCAAACCTTTTCAGCAGGGGGCTGGTCCACTGTCCCTAAGACCTTTGAGAGGCCAGACTATATTTTGAAAAATATAGATGCATTTTAGATAAAAGGACACATTCTACTCGGGTAAGCCATGCCCCCCATGACTCTCCCCTCCCTTCTTCACAGCACCGGACGAGCCCCGGTGGCTGCTTACCTGTGTCTTGCGAACGGCAGGGGCTGGCGGTGGTGGGAGGATGAGCAGTCCGCGAAATGGCTCTGGAGAGGGGCTGGCAGCAACAAAGCCCAAATTGAGCCTGCTTACAATGGCAGCCACTCAAGCGCTAACGTTGCTGCTGCTGGCATCAACAAAGCCCAGCCACTTCCTCTCAGCCTCCAGAGTTTCAGGCAGGGGACATTCCCAGCCCTACCTGGGGATGCCATTGGGGACTGAAAACCTTGGCCCTTCTGCATGCAAAGCAGCTGTGCCCCTTCCCCAAATCTCACCTGCATTGTTGATGAGAATGTCAAGGCGGGGCTCAGATCTCAAGAAAGCCGCTGCAAAAGCCCTCACTGACTTGAAGCTGGCCAAGTCCAGGCTCATGAAGAGAACTTCATTGTTCCCACTTTCCTGCAAACATTAATGGGGGGGGGATATGGTGGGGAACAGCATAAAGAATAAGCAATAAAACTACATTCCTAAAACAAATGCAAAATACATAAATCAGTGGATTTGGTTAGCAGATCAATGGAGCTTGTTCACCACCCCACCCCACCCCACAAAAAAAAAACAGGCGAGGAGGTGTGTTTAAAGTACGCACCTACTACACCTATTCCAGGGAATGGCGCATGGTGGGAAAACATCTTCCAAGCACCCCCACCCCAATTTCATAATGCCACTAGGGCAGACTTTTCTAACCTGGTGCCCTTCCAGATCCACTGGACTACAACTCCCATCAGCCCCAGACAGCTGTGTGATGCTGAGGCTGGAGGGTGTCAGGTTGCTGAATTCTTCTAGAAAGCTAGACCTCCCTCCTGCCAAAGAAGGAAAGGTCAGCTGTTCAGAATTCATTGGTATCAGGCAGGTGCCTTCACTGTACTCTCTTCAGTGCCTGCTAAAAACACTATTGTGTAGATAATAATAATAATAATAATAATAATAATAATAATAATAATAATTTATTATTTGTACCCCGCCCATCTGGCTGGGTTTCCCCAGCCACTCTGGGCAGCTTCCATAGAAACCAAAAAACACTAAAATATAATACATTAAAAACTTCCCTGAACAGGGCTGCCTTAAGATGAGCCTACATGGAGGTTAGGAAAGTTGATGTGAGTCCCCCTGCCCAGTCTACTCTTATTTATTTTTATTTTATTGAAGTTTTACATTGTTACGTTTTTCTTGGAAATAATTTTATTGATTTCATTTTTTTTGTAAACTGCTTTGAGGGTGGTTTTTTTTTTTTAACAATCAAATGGGGTATAAATTTTATGAAGTGAATATATTAGGCCACGTTTTTACAGTGAAATTGCTTTGAGAAGTGATTTTAAAATGGAATCATAAAGGCTGCCCTTTCGAAGGAGGCGGGTGGCCGGTGCTCACCCTCCTGATGTCATAGACGGCAGATTCTCCTCGCCTTCTGTCACGGCAAGCCAGGATGACGCGGGCTCCCCTCCGGGCCAGATCCAGAGCCGTTGCCTTTCCAATCCCAGTGTTTCCACCTGGAAAAGTTCAAGGGGAAAATATAGTTTGCTGGGGGTCTTGGCGGACCGCAGAACGATTTTTCTGGCAATAGTAATGAGCTGTGATAGATGCTGTATGGTTTTAACCGCATTTTCATTATATCCTTTATTTCTTACAGGTTGCATTTTGTTGCATTATAATTTGATTTCCAGAGAGTTTGTGGTCAGAGGCAGTACATGCTTCAGAAGGCCAGTTGCTGGAAGCAGCAGGAGGGGAGAGTGGTGGTTGCGCTCAGGGATCTGCTTGCTGGACTAAGTGGGTCCCTGGTCTGATCCAGCTGAAGGCTCTTCTTAAGAGAACTCAGAATGCAATACAATACATACCAATATTGGATGCTATGGATGTGCTGTCTCTCATCTTCCACTACTACAAACCCTCAGACATGTCACACACCACCTGAATAAAGCTCTGGATGGCAGAAATGACCGGCAGAATCCGAGACCAGGGAGAAGAGTCGGTGGAAGAAGATTGGAAGAAATTTAAAGACTACTTACAGAAATATTGTAAAATCAATGAATGTTAGAATGATGTTGGAAGAAAAGTTATGTGGTTTTTAGCTATAATGCTATAAGGAGTATGAAAAAATTGGACTATTAATAGACAAAAATCTAATGGTACATTATTTTAAGATTAAAGATTAGGATAAGTAAAGAGGGGAAGGATTTGCTGAACTAACAAATTAAATTGGAATACAAAAAGGGAGGATTGAGGAGGTCCGGGAATCAAGCAAATGAAAGAATGTGATGGAATGATGGAATTGTTTTTTATTTGTATTTTTTCTTTTTTCATTTTGTAAAACCTTAATAAATATCTTTTTTTAAAAAATGAATAAAGCTCTGGAGCCCTCTGCCAGATGCACTTGGACTACAATTCCCAGCATTCCCAATGCTGAGGAAACATGAGGGGTGGGTGGGCTGGAGTGCCGGCACACCTGGGGAAAGGTCACCGGTGCAACCCTATAATAGGTTTGCTGAGAAACACGCCCCATTGGCGCCCCTGGGAGCTTCCTCCTAAGTCAGCCTGCGCAGGATCGCAGCCGGGGAAATGCGCTCAGTCTCGTCTGAAGTTTTTTTCGCTGGGATCCCGAAGCAGGAAACCCCGGAGCGGGAGCTCCCGCAGACCCTCTTCGGACTCTCTAACCACTGCACCACGCTGCACCCCCCCCCCGCCTTCCGGGGGCGATTCTCACCCGTGATCAGCACCGTCTTGCCCCGCAGGCTGGTCTCGTTCTTGCACGTGGCCCCTTTGATGAAGTTGTAATAGAGCAAGGCATAGAGGCCCAGCGCCACCGCCAGACCCGCCAGCGCCTCCGCGGCGGCCATCGCGCGCTTCTTGCGCCCGGAGCGCAAAAGGGAGGAGGAGGAGGAGGGGGTGCCAGCAGCAGCCTAGGCGCGCATCTTGCGCCCGCGATCGCCGGCTCCTCGCACTGCTGGTCGGAGGAAGAGGCGGACGCCGCTGCTCCTGCTCCTCCTCGGGAGGCAGATTCCCAGCAGCCAGACGCGCCCCGGATCCTTCCTCTTTCTCCCGCGGACCCGTGCGCAACGCTGCGCGCCTGCCGCCCCTTGCGCTCCAAGCCGTGCCAAGAACGGAGCCGGAACCCCTGGCCGCTGGCAGAGATGCGCGTCACGGTCAGCTGTATCCCGGACCGTGTGTGTGTGTGTGGGGGGGGGGTAGTCAGAGCTCCGCCCCATAGCAAAGTCCGTGTCCCTGGCCCCGCCCCGCCAGGAGGGTCCAAAGATGCAGGCAGGTCGCCTTGATCCGTTGCTGTCCTTCGTTACGCGGACGTCCCATCCTCGGATAGATGGCACCCGCATGAGTGCAATTTCAGGGGCTCCATGATCACTGCAGATGGTGACAGCAGTCACGAAATTAATAGACGCCTGCTTCTTGGGAGGAAAGCAATGGCAAACCTAGACAGCATCTTAAAAAGCAGAGACATCACCTTGCCGACAAAGGTCCGTATAGTTAAAGCCATGGTTTTCCCAGTAGTGATGTATGGAAGTGAGAGCTGGACCATCAAGAAGGCTGATCACCGAAGAATTGATGCTTTTGAATTCTGGTGCTGGAGGAGACTCTGGAGAGTCCCATGGACTGCAAGAAGATCAAACCTCTCCATTCTGAAGGAAATCAGCCCTGAGTGCTCACTGAAAGGACAGGTCCTGAAGCTGAGGCTCCAAGACTTTGGCCACCTCATGGGAAGAGAAGACTCCCTGGAAAAGACCCTGATGTTGAGAAAGATGGAGGGCACAAGGAGAAGAGGACGACAGAGGACGAGATGGTGGGACAGTGTTCTCGAAGCTACCAGCATGAGTTTGACCAAACTGCAGGAGGCAGTGGAAGACAGGAGTGCCTGGCGTGCTCTGGTCCAGGGGGTCACAAAGAGGCGGACACGACTAAACAACAACAGCTTGAATAAAATATCGCGGGTGGGGGCAGGATCGACCGCAAGACGTGATGCACCTTGCAGTGCCGGATTTACGTATATGCGAAACAAGCTATAGCTTTAGGCCCCACTCTCTTGGGGCCCCCCTAAAAAATTTAAAGGAAAAAAAACCTGGATGTACATTTCCAAAATATAAGATAAAAAAATAAATAAAACAAAACCGACATACAGCAACAGTGTTTTGTGTTGTGTAGGCTCCTATGATGTAAGTCATGGGCCCCACCTGCTCCCTAAAATATCACTGGTTTGCTCATTTCTATATCAATTACTTTGATCAAATACATATTTTGTTACGTGCAAATGGCTTTAGATTCCTATTAGGTCCATAAATTACTACGTAGCATGTATTCAACACAAAAAACAGCGACAATTTGTTATTGACAAAGGACAGCTGGACATATAAAGGGGCCCATTACCTTCAGTAGCTTAGGGCTTCATCAAACCTAAATCCGGCCCTGCATACACACCATTTGAATGGCAATGATGACCATCAACTTTTTTGGGGGGGGGCAGCCATACCCCTCAAATATTTTATTGGGGAGCCTAGCCCTAGAAGATGGCTCCTATGCTCAGTTTTCTTTTTTCTTTATTATTTATGAAAGCTGTATGCTGAACTATACCCACCGGTCTCAGGGCAGTTCATCGGATAAAACCACAAAATACATAATCAAAAGAAAAACAACCCAATAACCCCCCCCATAAAAAAATTAAAATAAAAACCCCACATTTTAGAAGGGCACTGTTTTCTGAGAGCCAGCTCTGTTAAACTGGGGTGTGCTTGCTTCAAACAGTTTGCAAAGGCTTGGCAAAGGTTTCACAAAGGGCTTTCCGCCCCTTGAAACGCTGCCTTCCACTGGAAATAATCCTGCAAAGAATTTCAACTGCGGACATGGACCATGAACCCCATTGAAGGAAAGCGAAGAAGTCTCACCTCCTTAGGGAGAGAGAGATTGGCAGCTCTTGGAAGGGAACCATTTTTTGAGCCTGAAATTCCAGTTCCACCATAGTGGGTGGGGAAGGAAAAAGGCAGGAAAACTCCCCACCTCAAGGACAACTCAGAACCCACAGCACTATCATCATTAAATTTTAAAACCACCCTTCATCAAGAGACCACAGAGCGGTTTACAACACAGAACAACATTAATAATGACAAAAATATTATAATAGGCAGTACCTCCCTCCCACCACCACATTTTAAAAGGCCACAAATTGATTAACAGCCAAAGGCCTGGTTGACAAGGAATCTTTTTGCCTGACGCTTCATCCAGAGGCAGTTGTGGGGTGTGGGGAGATTATTTTCTTATTAATGCCTGCCTTTCATCTTAAGATCCTAGGGTGGGGTCACAGCATTAAAACACATTCTTTTTTATTAAAAAAAACAAAACCACACATCTCAAAACAACTTAATTCATTATTTATTATTGATTTCATAAAAATTATATACCGCTCGAGTGCAGAAAAAACCTCCAAGCAGTTAAAAAGTCTGCTCAGCAGCTGTGAAACCCGTGTGGCCTTCTCTTGCCTTAAAAAGATCCGCTAGTAAAAAAGAAAAAAGAGCGGGGAAAATGAAAAAGGAGGAGGGAAATGGCAGCCCTCAAAGTGACAACAGCAAATATTACACCGGGCGCTTGGTACCACTCCCTTTCGAAAATCGAAAAAATGGAGAAAATTACACATCATGTCAGACTTCAACAGGGACTTGAGCCTCCAGGCACTTTTGGTAAGATTTGGCGTTCCTTTGTGACATTTGCCATGGGCGACTTTCAAGGCAACTCTCCTCACAGGCTTGGCAAGTCTGGAACCAGACCTGATGATCTGACGACATCGATAGCCTTGACTTGGACTTTGCTGTTTTGGCCCACGTGCAACTGTACCGTTTTATAGTTTTCGTCTTTCATCTCTTCATTTCCCCCCCTGTTGCCACTGTTCTTTTTCCTTTATATACATTGTAAAATGGGGTGGGGGGAACCCTTTACCAAAAGAGAAAGAGAAAGACAGCTGCAAAGATCTCCTCCAATGCCCAACCCGCTGTGATCGCCAGGGAACAAAAAAGGAGAGAAACCGTGGACAACCTAAGAGCGCTCAGGGCAACACTTTAGAACCCTGCTTTTTGATGCCACAATTTGACTTTAAAGTTTTCCTCGATTTCATGGATGGTTTCTGCACAGGCACCCGTTCTATGGAGGTGAGCCCTCTTTGAAAAACACCAAAGCCTAGTTCGCCAGCCCCACCATCCTCTCGCTGACTTCCCAAAGTTTCTTGGCCACGGCATCATCCCGGGCATGTGGCTTGGGGTCATGCAGCCTGCAATTGGCAAAATAGCGCCCGCTGTACTTCTCAATGCCTTCCTCAGTGGCACAGTAGATGGACGTCTGAGCTCCGCTGGTCGTGTCTCGGAAGAAGAGCCAGAAAAGAGGCTTCAGCCAGATCGACATGTGACGGAATAATTCAGTGTTAACAAGCCCTGAAAGGGAAAAAAAAAAAACAGTAGCTAGAACTGAATGGAGGTCCTTTATCATTCTCCTTTCCGCTTGGGCCAACCAGATGCCACATCTGGGAAGCCTGACATGAGCAGAACAGCACTTCCTCAGCAGCAGCAGCAGCTGGTGTTTAGAGGTCAACTTCCTTTGATACTGGAGGTTCCATCTAGCTAGTATCCACTAGTATGACTGGAGCTGATGGCAGTCATCGTTCAAAGCACCTGAAGGGCACTGTAGTGATCTGATGGGATTACTATGAGGAATTATAAAATATGCATCAAGCCATGGTGTCCGCTATGAAAGCATTGCGTTGACTGGGTTTGATTCATTGACAATAATTTCTGATCAAATCCCACAAGCCTCTCCATCTCTACTATTTGCTTTCTCTACACCTGACAGGCATGTATAAGCATTCTAAATACACAGGCCAGTTGTTCACTGGGCATCCTCACTACATAAAGATAGTAAGTTACTTTGATGTAGTTTAATCTTTAGATAGATCTTAAGAGTTCAGGAAGAGAGTTCACAAAGAGATGGTAAATACTACCCATCCTTCCTCTCCTGTTTACTCCTGTTTATGACCTCCAGGGTTTTCCTAAAAGCATTCCTCCTCGCTTCCTCTTTTATTTACTCTGGACTACTATGCATGCTCAAATTAGCTCTTCGTAGTTTTAACTTTTAACTTTGTCCCCACATGGGGTTTTTTGAGATGCTCAGGGGAAATCTGATTGGTTCTTACGTGTAAAAAGTTCTTATGTGAATAAAACGACCTGGGTCAAGGGGTGGACAGGAATTATTATTGGCACCTCCTCCCAGAGTCTTGCTGGTCAAGCCTCGTGTGTATTCTATTAATCAGGGTCCAATCCTTCCTTGTTTTGGGAATGCTACAGGCATCAGGTTGCCAAAGGCTAGTCTAGTTGCAGATAGCAATGATGACCAAGAAATTTGCAAAAGGAATGTATGTTCTAGGGTGATGCATGAAAAGGTGAGCTGCACAGGAATCTCTGGCATTATTGGCCCTCCAGATAGCAAATACCCTGTCCTGCAGATGTTGTAGGATCCCAGTTAGCACAGTCAACGGTCAGGAATGATGGGAGCCCAACAGCATCTAGAGGACCAATGGAAGTCTGCTTCTCAGACAGTCCCCATCTGCCACCCTTCCTACTTACAACCATCCCAGGGGCTGGTCCTGCCCATCAGCTTCCTTCTCTTCCACAGTCTCAGTGTTGCCCCTTGTAAATCTCTGCAGGGATAAGGATAAGGATGGGGACAGAACTTCTACCTGCAATTGATTCTGTCTCTGCCCTTCACTGGTTCTGGCTCTGTCTATTATCGTGCTCCTTGCTTTCTGCCCCTCCAGTCACCCAAGGGCACCAGCCACCACTATAGAGGGTCCCAAGTGAAGGCAAGAGCTGAGCTGGACCTGCCACCCACCTGGATGGACCGCGTAGCAGGTAACGTTCGTCCCTTCCAGTCGATTGGCGAGCTCCCGGGTGTACAGCATATTGGCCAGTTTGCTGTTCCTGTAGGACTGGACCCCTGGCGACTGCCCATCCACTGGCTTGTGGATGTCCTGAAAGTCAATCTTCCCCCACCGATGTCCACTGGAAGCCACCACCACCACACGGCTGGGCGCACACTGCTTCATCCGCTCGAGGAGGAGGTGGGTCAGAAGGAAATGGCTCAAGTGATTCACCTGGAACGCCAAATTCAAGCCGTCACTGCTTCGGCTTCCAGTCCGGACACCTACCAGAAAATGAGGCTGGATTAAACAAGTGCAGCATGCAGAAGGGCCTTTTCTCTGGTGGCCCCATTTCTGTGGGAGGCTCACCCTGCTGAAATATGAGAGCCCCCCATCACTACTGGCATTCTGCCGGCTTTTTGAGACACACCTGTTTAGCAAGAAGACCCAGGTAACTACCGACCATGCCAGGGC